TTAATCTTCACGAAAGTGTTTACAGATATTCATCCTATCACCTCAAGTGACTTACTATTTGCAGTCATTTAAAAAGTAAAAATAAATCTACGGAGGACAGCGTGCTTACGATTTTTAGATATCATAATGTACCATGAGGAAAAAGATATATCCATAGGGTTATAACAGTGAGACGCGCAATATTATTCCGAAACACAGAGACTACGATTCTCAATCACAGAACATTCTACTTTGCTACCTGATCATCTAATCGCATCAACGGATGTTTCGCCAAGAAAAAGAAGACCATTGGTTAAGAAAATTTATTTAAAGTTTTCTTAGAAATCGTGGACATCCGCATTTATAGCCACGGAGAAGTCACAAACATCCGAAAAACAAAAATTTCATTATTTGAACTGAAACGAGCAATTTGTATTCAGCCAGTGTTTTCTCTTCGATTAATAATCAGCTTCTCAACTAGTTGAAACTTCGAGAAAACCACCGATTTTAAACCACAATCGGAAACGTTATTTTTGCTAATTAAAGTTTTAATTTTAACTGGTATAGTTCGTACGTTCACCAGATCATCGTATGTTATCCGCTTTTTAAATCATTTTGCAGCAAATTGAATGGCCGTTAACACTGACTTTACTACAGACAGTTCTAGTTTATGTATTTGGGTCTAGTACATTGGGCATTAACAAACAAAGGTAAAACTTACCCTTCAGAGGTTTCTGATTGCTTTCCAGTTTCTTTTTGTTCCCAAAAATACATGCAAACACAACAGATTCACACTTCTCATGTGGCTCAACCTTGTTTGACTTAGATTCTCTCACAATATATCTGATTTCTTAACTGATAATATACACACTGATGGCATATTCACCTTCTCTAAAAGCTTCAAAGCCTTTCAAACTTCAAACCATGTTGTAAATTCTCCAGGTTTAATATGCTCTTCAAAAAACTTGCTAATATCAACTCTGATTGTACTGTCCACGCCAGATTCACACGTAGATTTTTGCATGCTGTAGATATGAACTTGAAATATATTATTTTTCCAAATTCATACATATTGAGTAACCAAGTGGGCCAGCAACAATAGTGGCAACCAACAAATGAACTGGAAACAAACACGTTTATGTACATAATTTCCAAAACTTCTACACAGTATTATTTCAAAATAGCTGAAAAACAGCTAAAACACTGAAACCACGCATGAAAGCAACGTATGAAACTATTACAATGAAATGAATGAACTGACCTGGTTGTAAAAACTTTCGAAACAAAAGAAATAACTAATTTTAAAAGCAGCGGAAACAAAATGAGGTGAAACACAACATTTTTGAACAATATACATCAAGATAAGTTGTGAATAACTGCATGATAGACGTAGAAACCAATGCGTAAACGAACGGTCAGGGAAATGAAGTCCAATGTGGCCGACTAACAAGGAAGAAGATGACCTTCAGGTGCCTTGCTCCACCAATGACCTTGAATGTGACGGATGAGTTCGAGCGACTTTATTGCATATCCCCTCAATGACGCTTGTCTCTATGTTGCTATTGGTTTCAAGTGGCCTTGGTTTCGGGGCGAGATTTAACTGATATAATATTGTGATTTCATAGACATATCTCAGGCTCATACGTGAAAGAAAGTTATTATCCTGTAATAAGGAAAAGTTGTTCAGAAGGTAAGGAGGACGTTTTTTCAGTTTATTTGTGTATATACTATTGTGCACCGAGTTGCATTGAGTTCTCAGTCCAACTGTATGTAACTGCATTTACATAAAGTGAAACATTAAGAATGCTCCTGTTTCTAGAATAAAAACATTATTATTATCATCATTAAGTTTAGTAATGAAGAATGGAATTTCTTCAACGTCAATGTTATTTAATTGAAGTTGTAATCTGTGTAGGCCCTTGGAGGAATAAATTCGGCATGGAGAACTCCTATGTAAACCGAAAGTGCTTTTAGTTTAGTAAATCTTACTGACTTCCTGTATAAATTTGATATTTGTCAAGTGTTTATTTAAAATCTGCTGGAGTATTCAGTAAAGTAAAAGTTGTAGTGCATAATTCCAAGACTTGTTGTAGTCATTGGTATTGCCAGGATACCACTTACTCGTTTTATGCAGCCGAAATATACAAATCTCGCTTTATTAAGGAAACACTATAATGCCTGCAAAAGTATTGCGTCAGTTAATGAGTTTCATAAATTCTACAGAATGTTTTCTATTCAGTGATTACTGTTTGCGAATTATCCGAGAAAACACATTTCCAATTGGGATGTAACAAAAGGCTGAATTCTTAAACTCTCATCCTTATATCATTTCAATCCAATCACACATATATAAGTAGGATAGTCTGTAAATGACTTTAGAGACTTATCATCATTAACTTACAGTTTACTGATGATACTGTACACCTAGACTATGAGAAGTTGCCCCTGATACTGGAAAATATGAAAAGAATACCGGTGTTTGATTGTAGGTGTCTGTGTTCTATCTTATGAGTAAAGCAGTATAATATGGCGATTGCTGTTGAGGTTACGCATAAAGTGTTGGGTGAGGAGGGTGAGTTAGTCTTCAAGGTAGGGGAGCTGAATAGGTTGAGATGGCTATAACACGTGATGGCATACCAAGCCATTGCCTTCCTCGAGGGATAATGTTAGCCAGCACATGTTAAGGTTCAAAATGTGTTTGGGTCGGTCAAATGAAAAACTGGTATTGGTTCATAAGATCGTTGACAGTCAGATAGAAGAACTACTAGATATATGTCTTTGTTTATGGCACAGATGCATTCACTCTGTGTAATCTCACGTATCTATCCAACTGATGTTGTCGCTATTTATTCTCCCTCAAATTTTCGCTCGTTAAACTTCCATTTAGTTTTATGTCTCTACCTTAGTGTGGTGCATGGAATGTGGTAAACTAAACAGTTGGACTTCTTTGCGAAGTCATACTGAAAGCCAGGCAGAATGACACAGGCTAGGCATAACTAAATGCAAAACACTGAATAATGATCTCCAGAATGTCAACAAATGATAATTGCAGTTCTTAATCTTGTTCTTTGCTAAACGACAAATAGATATCTTTGAGTAATCTCCTACTTTGCAAGTGTTTTTTGTGCTTCATCAATTTTGTGCTAAGCTTTAAGTTATTCAGCATATGCCGTTATTGACTAAGGACCTAGATGAAATTAGTTGAGTAAGGTTTCGGTCGTGCAAACACGAGTCCTGTGCAGGTGATCGGTTGCATTATCATTTCCCAAATGGAATGGAACGTCTTGCTTGGTGAAGGTGGTGTTCCTCAGGGTACTGTTATCTCTCCTTTTCTTTTTTCTCTCCCGTCTTACATGACTTTTCTCTTTCTAATGAGAGTAACTTCGTCAAATACGCTGGTGATCTGACCGTCTCACATGTAGCAAAAGATTATGAATACCTTGCTCTTCAAACGAAACAAATCAGCCAAACTGAAATCAACTAGACCGCCCAAATGTCCTCAAGGTAAAGGTGGAGGCGCCACTTCAAATAGGGGATATGCCATATCAACGCCCGAGAGAATTATCTACATTGCGTTTAGGTTACCAAACTTAGCTTCATTTTGGAGTTGCCTAAAAATGACTTCAGAGGTTGACATACAGTCACCTAACATAATCATTCTCAAATACTCCTTGGACTGAACCCTTAGCCTCACCCATCCTGATCTGGTGGACAGATCCTTTCTTGTTTTGCCGAAGCAACTTGGGAAGGATATCGAACTTGCATATGTTTAGGGGTTTATTTAGCTGCTCGGATAGTAAAAACCACACAACAACTACTACACCTTTCTTGAAGCACCAGTCGTGTTCCTTACAAGCCCAGTAGTAGAGGCTGACAGATCAGTTGTTGAAGATGAAATGCTTGGATCTGATATGAGTGTGAATTTACTCGGCCTACCATAGGCACAGGGTTTCAAATATTGTGTTCCAAAGCCCATTCAATTTGGACTACAAAACAAGCAGATTGAGGACGATTGTCGACTATCTCATATGGTGGTAATAGGAAGCATATTCCCGTTATATCTAATTTGTCTTCTCCTGATGATTTAACGGGTCGGGTTTTGCTCAAAAAAGAATTTGGTCCAAATTGTTCGATCGTCTTTTGGTTGCAAACAGAAGTTTTAGTCCATCAAAAGGGCCGGAGGAGTCCTTCGTGTCTTAAAAATTAGTGCCCTCTGCAGCTTGTTCATGTTCCACCTTGAAGTACCTGAATTGTTTGACTTTTTAACTGCAGCTGCAGACCTAATCATGGTCAATTAAGGAACGACAACAGAAAGTCATACTATGGGTAGCAGGAAAACTGGTCTATACAATTGTGCAAACCGGGAAACCTTGTGTATAAGATCAGAGTCATGGGGAAGCAGTCGTTACACAATAAAAATTCAACTCCACATTCAGGACTAGCCCCTTCTTTGTAGAAATTCATACTCATAGAATCTTATGAACAGTAGCAAAATCATTGAAATAAAGTTGAACGGAGAGCAAAGAGACAATTGGTAACTAAGATATTTACCATCGACCTCAGCAATCACCAGTGGCCATACCTATAGACTCTCTGTCTTGCTAATGACATCCCTTGTTATGCTATTGTCATTCATATTTATTTGTTTCAAGTTCTATCTCCTCACTCCATTCTCATAATCATGAATGCTTTCTACTTCTCCTCCTGTTCTGGAGCTGTTCACCTGTTAACATCTCCTGTCTTATGACATTAGTCTCCTCCAGCATCTAATGCAGACAAACAACACAAGAAGATATTTGATTTTATCAGCCTCCTTTTACTTTCCCCATTTATCTTGTCCCCAAATAGTAATTAATGGTCTTTCAGAAATTATCGAGCTAACGAAATCAGTAGAACCGAACTTAAATGATCAAGTCTCAGGCATGAAGCAGACGGGCTTAAAAATGTAAAATTTTAAATTTTCTAGTGGCATTTAGATGTTTAAGTGAGCTCAAAGATTCCAAGTGACTCATCATGTTTCGCAAAATGGACATTGAACATTGATCATGTTGTTAAGTCAGGTGGCCTTTAGTACACGCTTGGCTGTTGGTTAGGTGATGACGGCAGTGGAAAGCAGTCAGAGGGTAGAGGATGATAAGGAAAAGGAAGAGGAGATACAACTAAATCCACTGCAAGACACGTAATTGTGATATTTTGTTGCTAATCTGTTTCTTAGGTGGTCATATTACTTGTTTATATGCAATAAATCCTTAGTTTGGGAAGAATGTACGGAAAAAGTGGCCACATTTAGCACAATTGAGCATTTCTGGAGTGTACTGTCTCATACAGTCAGGCCTTCTAAAATGGTTAATGGCAACGATCTGTACATGTTCAAGTGTGATATCCAACCAAAATGGGAAGACCCGAAGAATGAGAAAGGCGGACGTTGGTTGATCAATATTTCTCAGCAACATAATGTTGATTTGTAAGTCATCTATTTTCTGATGTATTTCGTCTTACTGCCTCTCATTTGTCACTTCTCACGATGTATATAAGGTGTCACTTATATTGTATCAGCATAGACATATTTAATATTGTGATACTCGACCATTAAGCACGCATAAATTTTAAGGCTGCACGTGTGGCTTGAAAGTTAAACTCTTGCGGTTAGCCTACAGGATGTGTGAGATAAGCAGTTAGAGCTCAAGTTCTTTGAGTTGAAAAGCTTGTTTATTTGGTTGTGATACTTTCTTTGCATGAAGTAACCTCACCCAACAATGTCGTGTCATCGGCCACTAACTGTTAGGTTTTCTTATTTGTAGATGGCACATTTGTACGTATTAATGTTTATTCTCATTAATACTAGATGTTATCGGTATACAAATGTATAAATGCATTCTTGAAAATTACTAAAGTGTGTGTCTATAGTCTGCATATCGATTATATAAAGTTGCTGAGGCTCGAAACTAAGTTCTTGCATATATAGTTTGGAATTACTGTGTATTGTATCTGTAGACGTGGCAAATAAGTATTGTGTTTGCAGCTGGTATTCATACACTTTGGCATCTTGATTTAGTAGTATCTTTCTCTGAAGGATGCTCATTCTTTACGTTCATGACTTCATAATTTAGCTGGCCGAGAGATGAAGTGCAAGTGAGTAGGTTATTCCTCATTTTTAGGTGTTTTAAGGCCCATCAACAAAATTTTGGATGTCACATTCCTTACTTATCAGTATTTAGTTAGCTGAAGACTCGAACTTGAAGAAAAAAGTCTCACACTGGTGAAAGCACAGTGGTCTCTAGTTCTTGAGCTTATGACTTTTTGCAATTCAGATTGGCGTCCTGATTCTTTTCAGGGTAGAAGTTAAGTTTAACTTGTGGATCTACAGATATTTCCAAGCGACATTTATGACACCTACGTTGGTTCATTAATTTGCTCCTTGGTCAGCATTTTTTACCATCTGTCGGCAAGTCCTTTTGGTAAGGATCACTTTACCAGGCACTGACTGATTAGTTTCAACATAGAACTTTGCACAGATATGCAGCAATTCGAGTTGTCACACTCCATTTAGCATACAAAGTAACAGAAGAGAACAATGAAGTTTAAACAGAAGTGTGAGGCAAAAAGAATAGTAATGTTGAAGAGCAGTAGAATTTTATTGGATATTATAAATCACAAAGAGTGACTGCATCTGCGCCATCACTGAGAACGACTTTCAGTCATGTCACTAATTGTCTCCAGCCTTTGGTGTTTGCCATCCTGAGGTTCCCAACCAGGAAGTCTACGCCTCCTGACGTGGCTGGGTTAAACCAATTGTTTTGGATTTCACTGACTGATGCTGTGATTGCTTTAACCATCACTAGCTAGTTCTTCTCCACCCTGATCCATCTTATGTCAGCTAACACTACCCATTGTCGAGAAAGGTGGTCGATGACTAGACATACATGGGTAATACATGTCCTAACCATCTCAATAGGTGTAACTTCACAACCTCGTCGTTTGATTTCCCCTCTTTACCTAGGGGTAGAAATCAGCCACAAAAACAATTATTAATTTATTTCGTGCGGATAGGACTCGTTAGTGTAAGCACTTAACTTTAGCCAGGCACTGTGGTAGTAAGTAATTACATATTAGTTTGTTTATTAGATGCATCACACAGTGATACACGGATACCAATAAATATGGCTATAGAGGCAGTCAGAAACGAACTCATTTCTGGCCAAGAACTCGAACTTAGGACAAAAGTGCCACTTGAGGACATAATGCTGGGAGTACAGCTATGCCTGACTTCCACAGTATTTAAATTCCAAGGGAAAATATACAAACAAACTGAGGGAGTTGCCATGGGATCACCAATATCCCCAGTGGTAGCAGATATATTCAGGGATAAGTGGGAAAGCATAGCGATTAAAACGTTCACCCCCACCCCAAAAGTATGGTGGAGGTACGTAGACGACACATTCACTGTACTTAGAACACAAGATATAGGTAGGTTTTTCGAACATATCAACTCAAAGGTTGAAGCAATTCAATTCACTTATGAATTGGAAAATCAGGAAGGGGAGCTCCCAATGTTAGATTGTAACGTAAAGAGGAAAGAAGATGGGAAGGTAAACACCAGTGTTTACAGGAAACCCACACACTCCAACAGATATTTGGACTTCCGATCATCCCATCCTATGTCAGTAAAAATAGGATTGGTGAAATGTTTAAATGATAGAGCACAAAAGTTAAGTAGCACCAAAGAAAATCTAAAACAGAAACTGATACACATAAAAGAAGCCTTGAAACTTAATAATTACCCGGATAAATTAGTCAGGAAATATGTAAGGAAATGTAAAAATAAAATAAATAATGATAATAGCGATAGTGATAATAACAATAATAATGATAATGATAACAGTGATAATAATAATAATATTAATGATGACACCAACAATAAAGAACCTAAATCATCAGTAGTAATTCCATACAAGGAAGGAACCTCGGAAGCCTTGCGCAGAATTCTTCACAAGGCAGGAATAAAAACGGCATTCAAACCCACAAACTCAATTAGAAACAAGCTTTGTCGGTTAAAGGATCCTGTAGAGCCCTTAAAACAAAACAATTTAGTTTATTTAATACCCTGCCGGAATGATTGTCAGGTCAAATACATAGGTCAAACTAGTAGAACAGGGGCAGTCAGACTAGCTGAACATTAAAAACTTAGCAAAATCTAGATTGGTTGACCCGAATAAGATAAGAAATCTAGAGAATAGTTCAGCTATAGCACTACATGCAGTCACACACAACCATACAATAGGATGGGATAGGATGACAGTTTTAAAATCTAATGCAACTGACAGGGTGGAGGGAGAGATTGATAACAGAAGCTTTGTTTATCGAATCAACTACAAATACATGTAATAGGAATGATTCATCACCTGTCCCCGATATTTGGAAAATTCTACTACCCATACGACAAATAGGAGAGAACAAAGAAAACTATAAAACTCGATTCCTGTTCTGCCTACTTCAGGCTTGGCAACTAAGTAGTGTCGCCAGTCTTCACATTTTATGTGGTTCGTCTTGGCACAAAAAATCTGTGCTAGATAACTGAGTGCTAACATGGACCTAGTTGCTATCTAAGTTCGATATTAAATATCATGAGTATTGCTTCATTCCGAAGTAAGCAAAGATACTGGTAGAAGGCATTCATCTTATTTCTGCATAGTTGTTTACGGAATCCCGAATTAAGGTCATTCTAATTCTGCTCAGATTTATTCACATAAATTCTAATAATCTGACTAGATTTAATTGTGAATTTCAACAAAAGTCATTCGTTCTCTCGTAGTTCCCGTTGATTTGGAATAAGGCCTTAGAAACATTTTACTACGACAGTTCATTTCTATGCCAAACATAAATACTTTAAACTAGTATTCAGAAACGCTTAAATTCAAACACTTAATCCCAAAAAGAAATTGATTATTATTCAAGGGAGGCATTTATGTAGTCGCTACATAATTAGTGTTTATATATGGTCTGTAGAATATGAATTGGAAGCTATCGGAAAGATTATTTCGCTCCTCATTAGTGTTTTTTTCTTAATATGTCGTAAATTTAGAATAATACTAAGTCATGCCTATTTATTGATGAACTTTATACATCTTGTTTGTTATAAATCAGTAAATTTCTTTAGCTAGCAAAATACAGTGGAATACAGTTACTTGTTCCTTGTAAAGATAATCATTCTGACCTTCCGTTGTTTTTAGTTTGTGGGACGAGTTATTGATGCTACTTATCGGTTCTGATTGGGATACAGATGAAGAAGAAGAGTTGATATGCGGGGCAGTATTTCAACCTCGTGCTCGAGGTCATAAGATGGCAGTTTGGCTGTCTAGTGATAACGAAGAGCGGACTATAATGCAAATTGGAAAGCGAATTAAAGAACGCTTAGAACTAGACGAGACAATATACTTTCAACCTGTTTGTGACCAGAAAAACTATGCTAGAGGCAGAGATATACACACTGGAAAATATCAAACTTAATTTTGTGCAATGCATTAGCATTGATTTTGTCATCTTTTCCAATTTTGTTTGATTTTGGTCTTGCGCTTGACTGTGGACAGATTCTGTACATGTTTCCTTCTTATTTTCTGTGTTCACTTGAAGGTTTTTTGATCTTGTTAAAGTGAAGCATTTTAATAATACAGTACAGTATTACTATTGAATTGCTTTTATTTGAACCTTATTTGAACAACAACAGTATGATATGATGCTAGCCATTCATCGTTTCATTTAAGCTGATGGATCTATATTTTTTTTTAATATGGATTTATCCTCACTTTCTTTGTTTTACATTCTCCAATCATCCTGATGTCGAATTGTGTCCGCTTAGACAGTGGATCATAACCATGGAAGATTCTGCGTCATTAAGGTTACCGGTTAAATTTACTTTATATATATCGGGTGTTTTCTTTAGTGTGTTTTTCATCACACTGATGATACTGTCTGTCACAGTTTAATTTGTCTTGCATGTAATATAACAGTCATATTGGATTTCATTGTATGTTCTAATTAACAGCGTTTATTTAATGATATGGAGAACTTATAGAATCACATGAAAGTTGGTGTAGATTTCGTCATAAACCGACATCAGTTGAAAGATAAATACTTACTTACTTTACTTCGGCTATCTCCTACGGGAGCATGAGCCGGCTTCATGAACATCTCGAATCATCGCTGCCCAGGCGCGGCGATCTGATGCAAGGTTTTGCGACAGGGTTATCGCGTCGCTTACCGGGAACGCCGTAGCATGGTGAGAGTCGTTTGTAAGAGAGTTCATGAAGTTTCATGGGATTTTGGTACGAGTGATGTCCCCAGAATCGCTCGACCTCTTGTTTGAGAGTGCAGCTCTAGCCTTTACACAACCAAGTGTGACCTACAAGGCAGTAGGAGTGGAGTAGGGAGTCCACTATCCATTGGCAGCCGGTTACCGGAGTTCGGTTCATACGCCTTTTTGAATGGGGCCAGACATCCAGGACATCCAACAAGCCCTTTGTCCATACGTCTGCCGGTGAGCTCCAGTGAGCTTCATACGCCAGTCGTTGGAGGTTTGGAATCAGGGTTTAGCCATCTCCCCTAGACTGTCATCCAATGGACAGTCAACCCGGTGAAGAGCGCCAGGCATCCGCTTTCGCCCTCTCACTTTGGTGAAAAGCACCTCCGCCACGTGAAGGCAGTGAGTAGGACTTCCCCAGGAGAGGCTATGTAAGACGCCCGGTCATATGGGAGCATTTCAAGAGGGGTGGCCAACTCGCAGCACAAGGCACCCACCCTCGACCATCCTGAGGCTTTTGGAGGCTAAATAAGGCGCCTTGGTCATCTGTATTGTCGTGTTTCATAACATATCTGAAAGTGATGCAGGTTTTTTTATGAATCCTACACCTCGACGTTAATCAAATCTCTATGAACTGCTATGGTTTTTCGTTTTGTTAGATTATCCGCTTACTGAGAAAGTCTGTCGTGTGTGCATAGTTTTCAGAAAGGTTGATTAAGAAAGTTTAAATTTCAGAAATATAATATAGCTAGGAGAAATATACTGAGAGGGTTTCCAAATAGCATTTAAGTGAATTTAAGAAATGCAAGAAGTATGCCTTTGATATATATATATATATATATATATATTCATCATAATAGGTAGGGCTTATCTTCACATGTTGTCATTTTCGCTATTATTTGGGGTTTTCAGTTTTGATCTAATGGAATTCAAGCGTATGCAAATAGGTCCCTGTATGTTATTATTATTATTGTTCCCTTGGGTTCCGAGTGGAACATAGGGCTTCAACAACACATCTCCACTTTGTACTATTTTCTGCCGTCCTCTCCACCTGCGTCTACGACTGCCCATAATCGTTCATCTCCTCATGCTCTCTAACACACGATCTCCATGTCACCCTCGCACTGACGAACCACTCGTCACTGCCAATTTGGATTCCACTCAAGCAATGGTCTGGCGCGTGATCATTCGACGGCCTCTTCAACGTATGCCCGATTCATTTACATTTTCTTCTATATATTTGTTGAGCAACCGGCTCTTAGTTGGTTTGATTCTAGATTTCCTTGTTGCTAATTCTTTCTAGTCTGCCATTTGATCTTCAGTTTGGAGCCAGCGAAGACAGTTGTTGATGAAAGTCTGCAACCTGTTGGAAATCCTTTTCGTGAAGCGAACGCCAAGTTTCTGACCCGTATAGAAGGACCGACTTGACATTGGTGTTGAAAATCCGTATCTTGTTCCTTATGCTGAGTGCAGAAGATTTCCAAACTGGTTTCAGGTTGATGAAGGCGTATCTTGCCTTTCCGATTCTGACTTTGACATATTCTGCAGTTCCGCCTGTAGTTGAAACGATGATTCCTAGATAAGTGCAGGAGGCAACCTCTGTTAAATCTCTTCCGTTGATGGTGATTGGTGCTGGTTGTTGTTGTCGTTGAGGTTCGTTGGTTATCTTCATCACCTCCGTTTTTAATGTATTCACCTGTAGTCCTTTCTTCATTGTCAGCTACTTCTACCAGTTTGTTGGTTTTCGCCTGCCTGCCTGCCTGTGACATTAAACACATCATCTGTGAAATCCAGATCTTCTAGAGTCTTCTTATCGGTCAGTCCAGCGTACTCCTGTCTCCTCACTCCACACAGTCTGATGCATAATCCAGTCCACCACAATTAAGAATATCATCGGTGATAATAGGCAGCCAGCCTTGTCTTACTCCTGTATGCACTTCGAACGCCTCGCTGAGTTTTCCGTTGTGGATCACCTGACACGTGGCATTGTCATATAGCCAGCTGTTGAATGAGGTTGATAAAGATTTGGGTACTGTACGCCATAGTGTTGAAGCAGTTTCCAAATTACTTCTCGGTCAACGCTGCCTGTCGAAGGCCTTTTCGAAGTCGATGAAGTTGGGGTAGAGAGTGGATGCCATTGTAGCTTTGTTCTATGATGACGATGCGTAAAGTTGCAATTTGATCAGCACATGATTTGCCTTTCCTGAATCCAGCTTGTTCTGGTGGATGGATCTTTTATTCCCTCCAGGATGATGCGCCTTAATATTCTACTTGGCGTGGACAAGAGCATGATTTGCGTCAGTTCTTGCAACTTGACGAGGTAGCCTTTCTTCCTATCGGTAGGTACGTTTCCTTCTTTCCAAACCTTTTGCAATAATGACGTGAAATCATCTGTGGTGGTCTCTGGTCCATTTTCAGTGCTTTGGGGGGAATTCCGTCCAGTCCTGCTGCCTTTCCGGGCTTCAGTAGGTTGATCGCATTGAGGATTTCTGCTTTCATTGGCGGACTGGTGTCCACAGACAGGCAGTTGCGTCCGTGCTGCCGATAGTGGTGTATTTCTAAACGAGTTGCAGGTGATGATCAATTCAAGAGTCCTTTAAATTGGTCAGCCCATTGTTTTATTTATTTCTCCTCCTTGGTAATCAGGTTCCCTTGAGCATCTTTTACTGTTTTTCATCATCTGGGTTAATCTCTTCCCCGGATAGAGACCTGGTTATCTCTGTTGTCTGCGGCCTGTTCTGCTTCAATTGCCAGTGTGTCGTAGAATTGTCTTTTGTCTTTCCACTCTGCCCCCCCCCCCCCTATGTGGTATATCTAATATTTAGATCGTAGTCTGTTAATCGGCTAGCTAAATTAAATGGTAATATTGGGAAGAAGAAGAAGAAGGAAAATCAGCTGTTAATGAACTTGTGTTTATTTTTTTGGTAATTGACAGGATACCGCTGTTATCATATGCTTATTAGGATTACTTTTCCCTCGGGTATCGTGTGGAACACATGGCTTGCATAACACATTTCCGCTTTGTTCTACTCTCTGCGGTCCTCCCCAGCTGGCTCCACGATTACCCATAGTCTCTCATCCTCTTTGTGTCAACTTCGGGCACTCCACTCGAGCGATGGCCTGGCGTGCGATGTCGACGACCTGTTTAACGTACGCCTGATCCATCTCCATATTTGTTGAGCAATCGGCTTTTGGTTGGTTCGTTGGTAGAGTTGCTTGTTCCTAATTCTTTCTGGTAGTTCTGCCATTCGATCTTCAAAATATGGAGCCAGCGAAGTGGGCAGCTGTTGATAAAAGTCTGTTGGAAATGCTTTACTTGAATTGTAGTGCAAGTTGCTGATTCATATAGAAGCAGTGACAGACATAATACTGGTGCTGAAAGTCCAAATTTTGTTCTTAATGCTGAGTCCAACTGATTTTCAAACTGATTTCAGAGTGATGAAGGTCTGCTTTGTCTTTCTGACTCTGGTTTTGACATCTTCATCCGTGTCGTCGGCCTGTAGTGTTGACACGATGTTGTCTAGATAAGTAAGGGAAGTGACCTATTTCAGATAGCTTCCTCCGCTGATCTGATTGGTGATTGGTGTTTGCTGGTCGGTTATGTTCATCACCTCTCAGTCTTTTCTATATTCACTTGACGTCCTGTCTTTGCCACTGGCTCCTACTGCCAGTTTGTTGGTTCTCTCCTGTAAATTACCGACCAAAGGGCGTGTGAACTGCTCAGCTGTTCGCTCCGTCCTCCTTTATGGCTGTGAGACCTGGCCATTGAGAGTGGAAGACATGAAAAGATTAGCTATCTTCGATCATAGGTGTCTGCGTTCTATCTCTCGTGTGTGTTAAGTGGTATAATAAGGTGAGCAATATTGAGGTTAGGCGTCGGTCGAGTGCTAGGTAAGGAGGAGGGGAAATCAGTCGACGAGACTGTGAAATTACATCGACTGAGATGGTTAGGACATGTGTTACGTATGCCTAGTCATCGCCTTCCTCGACTGACGGGAAATGTTAGCTGACATAGGGTCAGGCTGGAAAAGTAGCTAGCGGTGGTCAAACGAAAACATGACACCAGTCAATGAAATCTACAACAGTTAGTTTAGGCTACGTAGGAAGGTGTAGACTTCTTGGCTGGTTGGGGTCCTCGGGACGGTAAAAACCAATGGTTGGAAACAATTGGTGACATCGTTCTCAGTGGCGCAGATGCATCCACTCCTTGTGACTTATGATTTCCAATGAAACTATATTGTTCTTCGTTATTACTATACCTTTGTCTCACACCTCTGTTTACTGTCTATATTATGCATTTCTCCTACTTTCTTCTCTTGCTTTGTGTGTTACATGGAGTGTGGTGACTTGAACTGGCGCACATATGTGCAAAGTTCTATGTCGAAAACAGACAGACGCATCCAACGGATATCGAACCAAGGACCTTCCGACGAGTTTGGTGACTATTCAGCGACTGGGACCCACCTGACTCAATCGCCCATGAATTCTACCCTCTACTAATTTGTGATTTTAGCGCAACCGCTAGCCATTGAAATCAGCGAGTATTTGTCCTTACTGCCGACAGGGAGGCCATTGAGTTGGTTCCCAATGGCTAAAATGGTCTACTGGCCTCCATTGTAACCGGAGGGTCATAGGTTCGAAACCCGTTGGGCACGTACTACCGATGAGTCCCAGACTGGGACGAAACATCTATTCAGTAATCCCTAGTTCCCAATGGTTCTCTATTTGATATCAATTCGTGATCAAACTAGAGAGAAACTTTGGTG